GATCTCCTGCCACACCCACACTGACGCACACACACACGTACATATATATATATATATGCATATATATATAATACACATATAATTATAGTAGTAGGAAGCAGATACATCGTTTCTTACTCTTGCTCCGTCACTTCCGCAGATGGCACGTTGTCCGCAAACTTCAGCATCTCGATACCCATCATATATGGACGCAGCACGTCGGGAATGACCACGCCTTCTTCTGTTTGATAATTCTCGCAGATGCAGCACATCGTTCTGGTGATGGCGCACAGTGTTCCATTCAGCATATGACAGTACTCCTTGACGTTGTTTGCCGATACGTTGCGCATGTTTGACCCAAACCGACAATTCACACCGCGCGCCTGGTAGTCTGTGCAGTTGGAGCACGACACCAACTCGCGGAAGGCCCCGCTGGCGGGGAACCAGGCCTCAAGATCGTACTTCTTGGCAGCCGCGTTATTCAACGCACCGGAGCAAATGTTGATGACGCGGTACGGCAGCCCAAGGCTCTGGTAGAATTCCTCGGAGGTGCAAATCATGTCCTCAAGATGCCGCCAGGACTCCCCCTCCTGTGGGGAGCAGACAAAAAACTGCTCCAACTTATCAAATTGATGCACACGAAAGATGCCGAGCGTGTCACGGCCGTGAGCGCCGACCTCCTTGCGGAAGCAACTCGACATACCAGCGTACTTCAACGGCTCCTTCAGCTCCGAAAACCACTTACCTCGGTGGTACGCCGCGATGGGCATCTCGCTCGTGGCAATCAAGTACTTCTCATCGCCCTCACCCGTGACTTTGTAAAGCTCTTCATCGAACTGCGAGAGCTGCGCCACCTCGAACATGGCTTCCTTGTTCAGGAAGAAGGGTGGGTAAAACGGGGTGTAGCCTCGACTGACAAGAAAGTTCATACCATACGACAGAAGCGCCAGTTGTAGCTGAACGAGTCCACCCTTCAGCACGTAGGCCCTCCCGCCAGCCATGGAGGTGACAGTCTTTGTTGCGTCCATCATACCCAAGCGCTCCATGATCGTCACATGATTAAGTTTTGCTCTCTTGTTCACGTCACCAAAGGTGCGGACGACGGTGTTACCCGTATCCTCATCTTCCGCCACAGGAACGGATTCATGAACGATGTTTCCGACGCTGAGCACTAGGCCATCCCGCTTGGCCACCAACTCTGTTGCTTCCCTTGCAAGCCCCAGCACATGGTCGGAGAGATCCTTAGATAGCTGCTTTAGCTGCAGCACGCTGAGATCCTTCAGTTGATCTGGGTTAAGCTCCCCTTTCTTCCAGGCGACTCGAATCGTCTCGGGAACCTCAGAGGTGTCCCCGTCAGACTCCTTTGCTTTCTTCTTCGCACCGACGAGCTTGCTGCAGGCGTTTATGAGCTTGTTGTAGACCTCGGTCAGAAACTGCGTGCGCCGCCAGCTCTTGTCTGCGTCTAATACAGCATCCACAATGGTGGGATCTGCAAAGCGCCGACGTTGGGACTCGCGGATGAGGTCAGCCCCCTTTTCGTCACGGAATAGCTGGACGTCAAGCCCCATGCTGGAATCAATATACCCTCAATTATGAGCAAACCCGTGTGCTTTCTCATCGTGGGGGGTGAGCAACGAAAATAAATAAAGAAAGGAAAAATAAAGAAAACAAAAAAAAACACTTTCGCCAACACAACAATTCTGGGTGTAACAGTAACGACATCGCCTTGGAAATGAGGAGAGTGCATATGCCGTAGGCCCGAGGATCCACGCGCAACGAGAGGCGATTTAGCGGTGAGGAAACTCCTCCTGCTCTTGCCTCCCTCCCCCACTCTCACACTTCTTTCCTTTACATATATATGCGTCTACAAATGATCCCTGCGCCTGCTCATGAAGACTTTGCCACAAGTATCTCCTGCAGCTTCTCAAACATGTCTTTTTCGTCCGTCACGCCGACGAGGCACAGGGCGCCCAACACCGCCTCCACAAACTCAACAAACGTCAGCAGTCGTTCAGACGCCACTACCACAGCAGCCAGCTCCCCTTGGGACCCGCAGCTCCTTTCGTACATTGAAAATCCCAGCGCGTTACGTGGCGAGCAGACAACGGTGGGTACCACGCCTGGAGTCTTGAATCGATCGAAGGGAAATAAACAATTCACAACATGAATTAAACTAATTCCATGGTTATTGAACATGGTGCGAAAAAACATAATAAAATTGCGAACCGACAAAAGAACAAACGTGCCACGCGGCTGCGTCTTGGCCTCGGTTCCTATTCGCAGAAAAAGTGCTTCCAAGGAGGGCAAAAGTGGCAAAAGCTGTACCTCATGCTCCCTTGTAAGGGGACACAGTGGCTCACTTGTGCGTTGTCCCTGTGTGAGTGATCCTTCCATCAGCATCGCAAAGCGCTGCGCAAGCTCGGTGACGTTGAAGCCGACACATGCGATGGCAGACAGGCGCACAAGAGACTCCACAAATTGTCGGTAGTTGAGATTACCCTCAAGCCTCAATAAAGACTCCTGAAGTGCATGCATCCTTTCACCCCACGGACTGTGTGGCGCCGCATCATAGGCCTCGACCTCAACCTCCTTCTCAATAGTCAGCAGCACGCATTTCATCACGTCGTAGATGCTCACACGACCATTGATAATGTGGGCGTCATTCAACATGCGGAGGTACTGAGGGATGCATATATGGCCCGGAAAGCGGTGCTGCCACCAATTGGGCTTCGTTGTGAGAAGCTTCACGTTGTCAAACTTTCCGCTGTAAGTGTCAAACCAATTCCTAAGAGTCTTGTTAAAGCGCACCAAGAGCATCCTCATAGATGTCTTGGTCTCCTCAAGCGACTTGTCTGAGATGCCAAAAAAGTCATCTAACGCAATGCTTGGTAGAGTTGCTGGGGTTTCCGCGTCCTTGAAAATCTGCTCGGCCTCATTGCCACGGAAGATGCCATAGTACGAGGCCCCCACGCTCATTTTGCACTTTCCATGGCCCTCCTTATTTCCACGACACCACTCGCCCTCGTAGGTGCCTCCGTCTGCGTAGTAGAAGACACCAAAGCCGTGTCGCATCCCCTGCACAAACTCGCCTTCATAAACGTTGACAACGGAGGAAATGGGAGGGGAATAGTTTACCGGGGTATCAATATCCGCTGGCGCGTTATCTGGGTCTAAGTGCAGCACGTAAGTGGAACGCCCATGCCCTTGAGGGATATCATCACTCCAGTGCCCCTCATACACCTCTAAGTAATGTGCTGTGCCAAACTTCCACCCCATGACCCCAAAGCCATCTCGACGTCCCTTCTCCCACCCGCCGTCGTATACATCACCGTTGGGGTACACCAATTTGCCCCTTCCATGGCGCTTGTCGCCTGCCCATTCTCCGTCATAGAAAGATTCACCACCGTACGTCTGATGCCCCTTGCCGTGCCGCTTACCCGAGACCCAGAAGCCAGTATATAATCCCCGAGCCGTTGACATCTCCCCGTTGCCGTGCCGCACACCGTTTTTTACATCCCCAACGTACTTGTCCCCATTAGACCAGGTGAAGATGCCCTTCCCATTTGGGGAATTGTCGTGAAATTCACCTTGGTACGATATACCATTATTCCACACAATTTGGCCTTCGCCTTCCATGCTTCCATGGACAAAATTCCCTTCGTAGCGGAATCCCATCGCAGAATAAAGGACACCTTCACCGTGAAACATGCTATGCTCGTCAAGTGAGCCAACATACTTCCGTACCGACGTTGCTGGGACGGCAGTTTTGGAAGTGTCAGCAGCGACCGCATGCTTCAAGTACTCGTACACCTGCGCTACGGTATTCTCCGTGGCCATTGTCGCCGCGTTTTACTAAACAACCAAAAAGTAGCAAAACAAATGCATGAAGAAGTGCAAAAAAAAAAAAAGTGCACGCGGAAAGAAGAAAGGGTAAAGAAGAAGCATAAGAGATTGCTCACACCATTAACTCAGGCGTACACCAGAAAATATATATAAACACTTACACATGCCATTTCCTTACTCGTTCTTTTCTTTGCTCCTTTTTTTTTCTGTTGTTTCCAGCGCACAATTCACGTCTATCCAGTGGGAGTGTACATCTTTATAAATTTTTTGATGAACCCCACTTCTTCTTCCGTCTCTTCCATTTTTTTTCGCTCCTGCTCCTCACGTAGGCGCTTACGCATGCCTCTACGAGACGCATTGTGCTCTTTCCGTGAGAGCATGAGTCCTAGCTTCATCTCCCGCACCCCGAGAAGATCGCGCTGATCGGTGCCGTCCAGCATCTTTACCGCATGGAGAGCCATCGCCTTGTTGCGAAAGGTCAGCACCGCGTAGTGCGTCTTGTTGAGCAGGTTGCCCTTCTGCGACACCCGCAATTCCACCTTCGGCTCGTACGCGTCGAAAACGACACGCACGGCGTTTCGCTCCGTACCAGGGGCGACAAAGCAGTGAAGTCGGTAAGCGTTCGAGGCCTTTTTGCCCTTCTTCTCCCTTTTCTTCTTTGGGGCGCCCCGGTCTGAGCCGCCGCCCTCGCTGATCGCGTCGCTACCTAAGGAGGAGAGCACCTCGTCCGCACCGTCCGCGTCTGCAGTGGCGGCTGTCGTTGGCCGCTTTGCCGTCGCCCGGCGACGTTTCGGGTAGCGTAGCTCGCCGTCCATCTCGCTGCCCCAAATGGCGGCGAGCTCCGCCTGTCGCTCTTTCTCCAGGTCCCGCTTCACCATCGACACGGCTCCAATGTGGCTCACAACGGCGTTGCCCCCTCCAAAGAATAACACCTACTTTCTTCCTTCCGTTTCTCTGCCTCCCTCTCCACGTCGCGGCCTCGGTGGGGTGACGCAGCAGCAACAACATAAAAAAAAAAAAACCACGACGCCCGTCGGTACAAGGGTCACAAACACCAATAAAGAAACGCTGCAATGAGGAAGAATAATAAACACCAAAGCTAGCAACAAGTGAAAAAAAAAAAGTGGAACCCCAACACTTCGCACCCCCCTCCCCCTCCCTAGTGGAACCTGGGGCATGCAGGGTTAGCTCGCTGCACATCCAACTTTTCCTTCGGCGAGAACTCCAAAACAGTTGCTATCGCTGGGACCATCTGCAGACGGATTTCTTCACTCGAGCAGCATAGAAATTGAAGTATAACGTTTCTTACGTACTCCACACTCTGCTTTACCCGCTCCTTAGCCTTGAGAACCTCGATGTCCTTCGTGTACTGCGCTACCATACTGTTATTATGATCACACTCGCGTTGCAGATCCGCATTCTCCTTTTCCAGCGCCTGCAGCTGGACGCGGAGCTGACGAATCTCATTGTCGCGTTGACTTTGTTGGTTTGCCAACAATAGCATGTCCCTCTCAAAAACACCGCCGGCCACAGCACGCGGCGTCGCACCGCCCTCTTCCTGCATGGCTGACAATGAGTAAATAGATTCCTGCGCCTTCTCCCGCTGAAACGCCTCCCGCTGTCGCTTAATCTCCCTCCGAAGCAACTCGCACTTTTCTTCTAGGTGGCTGTTCCTAGCCTCCAACTCCGCCAGAAGCCCCGGCGGCGGTGAAGAAGCAACCTTACCTTCCGCCTCGGTCAAATTGGCGGTGACCTCCGCCAACTCCTGCTGACAGCAATGAAGTTCGGCTGTTGCTTCATCGAGCTCCATCCGTGCACCCGAAACGTCCTTGGTTAGCAAAGCGAGCACTTCAACGAGTGGCAGAGTCGCATACTTCACATCCAATAACTTGAGATTCCTCTTCAACCGCAGCTCGAAATTTTCAACCCTTGACAACAGCGAAAAAACATCCGCCTCGCCATCGCCACCCTCGCGTACGTCATCCGCCACAGTCTCGCCCACAAGAGTCAATATACCTAACAAACAGCTTACAAACTTCCTTACATCATCGCGTGCAATGATAACAGATGCCTCTAAACTTTCAATTCTTGCATCATCCCTAGCCTTCGCCGCCAAAACCTTCTCCTTCCACCCGAGCAACTTCTCCTCAACCACACGAATACCACATACCTTCTCCTGCACAGCAACCTTACACGCTCTATCCGCTTCCAACAATCTCACATGAGCATCCCTTAAAGACTGCTGCACCTCCTCGCGCTGCCGCACGGCCTCTTCCAGCTGGGCACGCAGGTTTGCAGTATCCGACCCGCCCTGTTCACGGAGGCTGCTCAGCTCCTCAGCCGTTCGCACCAGCTCTTGCTGCACCTCCTCGCGCTGCCGCACGGCCTCTTCCAGCTGGGCACGC